TTGATTTTTGTCAAGTCACCTTTACCCTTCATCAGCTTCAGTAACTCTTCGCAGGTAGGTTCATGGCACATATTTTGTAAATCCCCTTTTACTAAAAGCCAAGCCTGATGTGGCATTTGGTGTGGGCTAAGAGCAAACAAACAAGCTGCAGTGATACAGCCATCTATTAAGGTTAGGTAGCATTTTATACTGAAGATTGCTCATCAGCAGCTTCTCTGGAATGTAAAGCCCAGCACATATACATTTCAGCAAGGAGGTTTCTCCTTTGTTATCCACAGAGAGGAAGGATTGGCTCTAAAGACATATTAAAAGGATAACAGGCACTGATACCAAAAGAAAAAAAATCCTTCCTCAATAAGAAGAAAAAAAATTACACCAATTATAGAAGATCTGGTCATTTGAAATCTCTTATGCCCACATTACATTTGATTTCCATCTCTATAAGGTCTTGCTAATGCTGCAAGACATATTTTTAATCAGATTCCAAAATAAATACAGTTTATGACAGAGCTGGTACCTTGGAAAGGATTAGTTCTGCTCTGTCACTTGTATATCTATTAAATTTTGTTCAGCCATCATACATTCAAGAATACTGTATCTCATGTATATATTTTAAGACAGTAAATTAAAGCAGTACACAGTAGTTGTCCCATTAGTGGAAAGTGGCAAATCCAGTGCATTTCTAAGCACTCTAATCTTCCTACCTCTGTGCTATACAGAAGACATTAATGTGTTGTTTTAATTTGAGACTCAGACACTCAAAAAGCTCTCATCAAGAACAATTTCCAGGCCTTGCAAGATAGAGGGGATAAAATAAAGCACCAAAAATAAATAATTCAAGACAAATTTTATTCATTATGCTGTGTTTTCTATGGGCAATGGTTTGTGTAATTTCTCCTGCAGTGCCATTCTGAGCAGCATCTCCTTGTGCCTTTTGCTTCACACAAAACATTTGATTTATATACTTGTACTTTACTATCAAGGTAAGCCTAAAATCTCTCTGACTGTCCTTAACACCTGAAAAAAAGTTCAACAAACTGCCCCCTACGATGTGCATGCAATTTTTACAATCTTTCTTTTCTTTTAAGAAAGGAATATTAAAATTCTTTGCTTTTTAATTAAGCATATTTGTTTATATGTTTTTCATATTGTTTACAAGGAACTTGGAAAAAACATCTTTGTTGTCAGTGTGAAGTGCTAAGATTCTTTGGAATTGTAAAATTTTGGCCTAGTTCACATGAAATCTGACCTTCTGCTCACATGAGATTTACCTTGCTCAAATCTCATACGCCCAGCCTTGAGTAGGGAAATTGAATGCATTTTAAAACATGCTGGCTATCACAGTTTTCATTTTTTATAAGTTGGTACCAACATTGTGTAAATCACAAATTAACACATGGAATATAAAGCAAACCTATCTTTTCCAGGAAGGATCCTAAGTATCTCAGGATATTGTTAATGTTCATAGTTACTCAGATTGTTCTACCTACTTGTGGCTTCCTTCTCACCTTCCTCAAATATTCCTGTCAGGCAGGTAACTCTCTGGCACCAAATGCCATACAAAGCTTGTTCAGTCAAGAAGTTACTGAGGAATAACTTTTTGGCCTATAGATTGTGGCCAAACTCATGAAACCTAAGTGTGTCTTTTACCAAGTAAGCAGATAAAAGTGTTCCTCTTCAAAGAAGTAGATGGAATATTTTGAATCAATAGTAAGTCTGAGTTGTATGGGTTAGGAGGCTTTGTCAGAGCCAGAGCAATATGTGGTACAGGAAGCTGAGTACTATTGGAGAAGGAAAGTCAGAACAAAAAAAACATAATCTGCAAAAGAATCAATCTCAACTGAACAGCAGGAAGCAGTAATAAACATAGCCGCTGGTGAAGCTAGTAAACAAAGTTTCTTTTGGGCCTGGTGGTAGATGATGGAACCTGGATTTCTGCCCAAGACTGTGGCTCTGGTTGTTTATTTCCAATACACTTTGAGAAACAAGACTTTGTGAGGGCCTGGGTATTAATTACATAGACCAAAAAAGAAAAAGAATAATAGCAAAGAGATGGGGCTTTGTCTTAACAAGACAAAGGATAAGATGAAAGGGATAATACATTGCTTTGTGGCCAATGCCACAGTAATGAGTTTGCTGCAGAATAAAAGGAAAGTGGGAATCTATAGCTTCTACTCAACAAAAGCCTCTCAAAAGACAATTCCATTCTCATTACTGTTTCAACAAAAGAATAACTTTCCCTGCCTGTCCAGACAGAGAAAATCAAGCACTTCAAAAGGTTGACTGTAGAAGGTGAAATGACATCTAACTAGATCCTGGGGTCACACTTTGGAAGCAATTAAAGTACTTCAGCTAAAAGGCCATGGTTGTAGCTATCATGGATAGATACGGTGGAAAATCTCTATCTTCTTCTTTGGGACCCACTCTCTGTGGAGCTGATCCAGGGGAGTCCTGGCTCCTGGGAGTCCTGGGCAACAGGTGGTGCTATTTCATCCACCCTCAAAAGATCCTTTTTTTTTTTTTTTTTTTTTTTTAATATTTCTTTTTTTCTTGTGTGCACTCTTCTCTGAGGAAATATTATGTTGTTGGATTTTTTTGGTAGGGGCTGAGACACCAAAACAGACTCCAAACATGTTGTCTGTCTTAATCTCTTTAATACAAGTCAGTACATCGAGCAGAACTGCCTTGTTATTCTGAATGAAGCTGCATGAGTGTCATTTGACAGTCTCTCTTGGTGAACTAGCAGTTGGAATATAAACAAACTCGGTTACCTAAGAAAAATCCTACTGTTCTGCATCAGTTTCCACTTCCAGTGGGGAAGAGAGGTGCATATTCCACACTTTGCACACAAAACTTTCTCTCAGCAGGGTTGGCAACTTACACCAGCTTTCAAATGTCACATCTTCAACTGAATGCTATTGCTACTGAAGAATCTGGTAGGTTTTCATGGGATGGACATGAAAAGGAATGTGTGAAGGGATCTTTTGCTCTAGATGACAAAGTGCTCAGTGTCCTTGCCTTTAGGTGAATGGGACAAAGAATAGTAATAGAAACAGCTTTTCCTATAATCCTGCAACACAGAATTTCTCATGACATTTTGGGAATTACTGCAATTTTCACAAAGACTGTAAGTGTAACAAAGGACTAATTGGGGTGTCCAATAGACTTAAAATAAGCCTCCTAGACGAAAGTTAAAATTTAGTTTTATTATGGAATTAAACAGAAAGACATTTCTTAATACAGAGATTGTGAAAGCAGTGTGGAAAATCAGCATTTACACATTGAACAGACATTGTAATTATGGGACAGTTATTGTAAGATTGTCATACGCAAGGCAGAGGAGACATATTCTCCTCCATTTGTCCTGAGAAATTGTTGCCTGAAATAAAGTGTCCATTTTAAAAAAACCCTTCTTGGAATAAAAAGCAGTTGATAGGAAGCCCAGAAAAGAACAACACAATTATCAGAGAATCAGTTAAGACAGACTGTGAATAAGTTCAAAGAATTTGGTTTGTACAGATTGGAAAAAGCAAGATAAATGTGGGACATGATAACAGTCTTCAAATATGCAAAAAGCTGTTATAATGAGAGAGCAAACTACTTGCTATGCCTGTGGAGTAATTTGGCAGAAAAGAAGATTTAAGTTGAGCACAAGAAATAAAATTGAAGAGGCTGCTGAGAGAATCCCCTTCAGTGGGAGTACAAAAAAGCAGGCTATGCATGCTTTGTTTAGTCTGGTCAAAGTTTAAGCTTAATCCTTCTTCTGAGGAGGGAGTAGGTGGCCACTTGAGGTCCCTTCTCACTGGTAGGTTTATGAGTCATAGTGGCAGCTAGAGAATAGAATTAATGGGCACCTGCCAAAATTACATCCAGGAAGTCCTTCTCTTATCAATCATCTAGAAATATTGTTGCTGTTATGTCACATCGGAGAGGTGTTTTCTTTCTGTCATTGACACAAACTCCATGCTTGCTCTTAAGAAAGTGGGTTCTTGGAGGACAATTAGCTTATAATTTCAGAAATCCAAAGTAGGGTCTTGTTTAAGTTCCATAGATGCTTATAATTTTTTTTTAATCCACTCCTGAACCAGGTGAGAAATGTCTCTCATAGGAGTTATTCCCGGTACTTGTCATCAGAGGAAACACAAGGTGAACAGGGCTAATGGGTATTCAACAGCAAAAGCAAACCAAATAATATTTATCACCAGTAGCTCAGTGAGAGGTGGTATCCCAGGCCCTGATCTGCCAGGTTGATGTCTTGCATTCACAGGTAGGTGCTTCTGATGAGAAATCTGTACTGTAGTAAGAGATCTGGCATACCCTGATTTGAAGCTGGACAAGATCCCTACATCTGGGTAACACTGATCACTGTAACATTAGGCCATAGCTGATTACATCAATGCACATGCACAAATAGGTTGTTCATTAAGAATGTCTCCCACTGCAAACCTGTGCCTAGTCTTATGAAGATAATAACTTTTTGCTGGCTTGCTAAGATGGTAAGCCTTCTATACACTCCTCTGTACAACCATATACCTTTCTGTAACCACAGCTGCATATGCATGGAGTGCTAGGCCAGGTATGTAAGAAGAGGCAAGGTTTTATTAGGCCAGCCATTATAATTTGTAGAAATTCTCCTCATGGGCAGTACATTCTTTCAGGCCCACAGGCCTTCAGCTGGTTCTTGGGAATTAGAACTTTTTCTTTCAGGTGTGTCACAGAAATTCAGAAGAGCCTAAGGTATCTTTCGGCCTATTAAATCAGTCACCATTTTTCAAGGTAACAGTATTTTAAATATATTGTTTTTTTTTTTTTTTTTTTTTTTTTTTTATTATTATTATTTTTCTTTTTATTTCTCAGCTAGTAGTTTTCTTTATATGAAGATTATTCAGACTGATAATGTATGCTTGACCTTTGGTTTAGGAAGAGGAAAAATAGGCCCAATACCTCCATCTTTATTTGTCCCACCATTAGTATTTCCTTTCTTTATAAATCACTCACAGGTATAATGCTGCCTTAACTGTTGAGAAAAGACAGGCTGGAGAAATCAGCAGGTGATCAAGGAAACACTTAAAGGTGATGGGCTGCTGCTTCAAAAAACACTTGCATAAATAAATCTGCAGCACAGAGCAGAAGGGAAATCAGGCTAGAAATCTGGCTGACTGCCTGTAGTCCCCAGGCCCAAGGCAGTGCTGCTGTTAAGTGAGAACAGGTGAAAGCAATTCTTTGTTTTTGCCTTTATCTCTTCCCTTTGGACATGCGCTGGGAAGCTGAGGTGTCCATTCAATAGGAAACAAGTGAACACTGGCAGGAAAGGCATTCCTTTCTTCAAGGTGATCCCAAATACCAGACTAAAGCTTTACTTCTTCTCCAGCATCACTGATGTCAGGTAAGCTCTGACCTTCTTGTTTTCCCTATTATGAAGTACTGCTCAGCCTCCAGCATGTAAAATGCTTTGCAGGTAACATAATCACAACCCTTACAAAACTGGGTGGCTCAGATGGTAGAACAATACATTGAGGTCTCCAGCTGAATGAGGGCATCAACACTTTCCAGCAGGCAGAAGTGACAGATAGAGACAAGAACACTTGGACCCTCTACACATGGAGGGAACTGTAAAGAAGTTGCAAATGGCTGGGGGAGTCAGATGGTATCAGGGACAATTTGAGTATATGTGACAACAAATTATTGGAACAAAAGCCATCAGAAGGGAGATGATAAATATTAATTACAGAGTGCAATTGGAAGAGCAGTAGGAAGGAGGAGGTGCAAAGAACTGAAGAGAAAAGATTGGGATGGACGTATAAAACAGGTAGTGGAAGGTTTTCAGAAATTCTGGACTTGAAAAAAGCAAGTCAGATTTAGAGAGCACCAGACAACACCAAATTTGTTAAAGAGACAGTTGTTAGTATGCCATCAATTAGAGCTGCTGTTGAAATGATAGTCAATACAATCACAGAGCAAGATTTTAGTTCTCTGACTTCCTAAAATATTCTCTCAAGGCTGTATGTGATGCTGTATTTAAAGAAGAATATATATATATATATATATATATATTTTTTTTTTTTTTCTCCTGAGCTTTGAAGAAAGGTAAAATCACAACAGTTTCTTTCCTGATTCCCTTCTGGATGGCTTTTAAAATACACATCTAAAAGTACTGAGGTTTAATGGTTTGACACTGCTCTCACTGAAGTCACTGCTGAAATTCCCATTGAATTCAGGTTCTAAACAACAAGCTAATGAATAGGGTGAAAAATAAGTACAAGATATGTGATCATAAAGCTTGTGACCAATGGAGATTTTCATTACGGTTCTAGTAGATCAAGGTTTAAAATAAGAGAAGCTAGTTTTCTCATTTGATATATGACTACCTGGACTTTCAGATTCCTGTCCATTCTAGATATCAGAGTTGTGACCACTTACTTGCTCCCTGCTAATCAAGCAAATAAAGAAGTCAAGTCTTGATTTAAACTCAAGAGAGAATGGGACGTTTTTGTAGTTGTCCTCCCCTCCTTCTCCCCCGCCCCCCCCCCCCCCCCCCCCCCCCCAAAAAAAAAAAAAGCCAAAAAAATATATATCCCTCAGCTCAAACTTTATTCTTTGTTCTGCTTTTGTTTGCACTTGTCCTGGCAGAGATGACCACATCTTTCTGGGGCTAAATACACATTGTCTAAGGCCTGTGATCAAAATAACATTTTGTCCCTTAACACCTTTCAAAAGAGCTCCTAGGCTTCCTTCCCTGCTGCCTTTGTGCCATGACCCACACAACACCAATTGTAATAAGCTTGAGATGTGTTAAAATAGAGAAAATGGAATCAAAATCCAGAAACTTTCTAAAAGGTCTGGATTTCTAATTTTCAAAACAAGTGAGGCATCTCACATAAATGCTGTGCTAGTCAAGCAATGTCTGGTTCCCTTAACTGTCTTCAGCCCTGATTCACACTCTCAGCAATTCAATGGGAGTCCTTCCATTCACTTCACTGGATGATACCTCTGGGTCTCAATGCTCCAGCAGTATGTGCCTAGGAAATATATTAGATTACTGATAAAAGTTGTCATGTATCCAAGGGATCATTTACTTCTCTCTCATGTAAAGAGAGTGGTTTTCTGAACATGAATAGACTGGCCTTGAGAATGTTAAAAATGACCATTATACATTCCATAATTTATGACTGAAATCGCAGCTTCAGCTATATTGGGTATGCTTAAGTATACTAGAAGGTTGTGTGATTAAGTACTCAGTAAGTTAAATAAGAGCTTTGCTTTTCATTTCCTCACATGTAGGGACATCATTTACATGTTAGATTTATTACTTGCATGTTATATTTATTAATTATTTCTATAATATCTGCAATATCACAGTACCTAACAATCTGCAGTTATGTACATATACCTAGGCTAATTAACAGTTAATAGACATGGGCCCCAAAAATCAAATAATCAAAAATCCCATAGAATCCCTGCTCCAGAAGGGCCACCCAGAACAGGTAGCCCAGGACCACATCCTTTTGACAGTCTCTAAGGAGGGAGACTCCACAATGCACCTGAAGGATCTCATAGTCCAAGAAGAAGAAGGGAGAGAATGGTTGGGTACAGCAGGTTCAGGAGTGTATGACAGGCTGGTATAACAGGAGCCCTTGTGCTCCATCCATGTACCCATTTGTCAAATTTATGTTTTGTTTTAATGTTGACATCTTGGCAAAGGTGATTTTCAAGGAGGGATTGAAGGAGAATGGTGAAGGAGCATTACAGTTGTATGCAGGAAACATCTCCCATGCTGAGAATGCCAGCTCTGGTTTGAAAACTGACCAAGTGGGGACTTGAAGGCTGTCAGCTTGGGTAAGCAGGGAGTAAGCCCTCCAGCGCTAAATTACTGATGATTGGTTTAATTGTTTGTGAAGCATTTGAGATCCTCAGGTGAATGACACCATAGGAAACAATGTTGAGAAGGGAAATGCTGAATATAATGCAGGTAATAGTGCTTCTGGAAGAGACAGGAGGTACTGCACAGACCACAGCTTCCACCAACGCAAGGTTGATTCCTTTGTCCCATGCAGGCATTTCCTTTCCTGTCCTACTTCTTGCTATCATCAAAATTAGAAAATTAAATAGTTGTAATATATTGAGTAAATTATTTTAATGAGAAAATTGACTTTGTCCTGAACAGTAATAACATTAATTGCCTTTTTTTTTAATTTGAAGCTGTTATTTTTACTCCATCATTAAAAAATAAGCTAATGTGAGTGCAAAGTGGAAAAAGTAATATATCTTGAATTTAACTCTTTTTTTTTTTTTTTTTTTTTTTTTTTTTTTTTTGAGCAGTAATTTTCATTTGTTACCACTGGAAAAACATGGTTTAGCAGTTCAAAGTGCAAGGCCTATCCTTTACTATGTGTGTGAAAAACACTGATGTATGTATTTCAGAAGTTCTTGTGCAATGATTGCAATTTTGATCCCTATAATCCTCAGAAAGCCCCACTTTATATAGCTCTATGTCCCACATACTCCCAGGAGCAAATTTTTCCAGGCAACCCCACCATCCCAGTAAGCTTATCACTGTATTTCTCTGTAACTTAGACAAAACTTAAACCAAATTGCTCTCAAATGTATGAGAAATGAACCTTGTACATAGGTATTCACTCTATAAATAGCCCATTAACTCCTAGGCAAGGGTCTAACATAGATATATATAGTCATTATTATGCTTTTGGTATCATAATTCCGGGGTCTGCTATGTCAGTAGATGTGTAGAATATGTGTAAACATATTTGAGGAAATTTTGTCCCATCATAAATGAATGGGATTTTAGGACGTACAGAATGACAGAATCCTAGAATCACAGAATAGTTTGTGTTGGAAGGAACCTTAAAGATCATCTCATTCCAACCCCCCTGCCATGGGCAGGGACACTTCCCACCAGACCAGGTTGCTCAAAGCCCCATCCAGCCTGGCCTTGAACACCTCCAGGGACGAGACATCCACAACTTCTCTGGGCAACCTGTTCCAGTATGTCACCACCCACACAGTGGAGAATTTTCCATAAACACCTAATCTAAATCCACTCTCTTTTAGCTTAAAGCCTTTTAGCTGTGTCCTATCACTACACCCCTTGACAAAGGGTCCCTCCCGAGGTTTTCTGTAGCCCCCTTTAGGTACTGGAAGGCCAGTATAAGGTCTCCTCAGAGCCTTTTCTTTTCCAGGATGAATAACACCAACTCCCTCAGCCTGGCTTCATAAGAGAGGGACTCCAGCCCTCTGATCATCTTTGTGGCCCTCCTCTGGACTTGTTCTAATATTTCCATGTCCTTGTGCTGGGAGCCCTAAAGCTGAACACAGCACCCAGGTAGGGTCTCACAGAGCAGAGGAGAGCAGAGCAGAACACAAACAACATCCCACTTCTCATGTGGCTTTAATTGTACTGAGCCATGGTTTACTTCTCCTAGTAAGATCTGGGTGCAAGATACAAGCAATTAATGTTTAATTAGGTTTAGCTATGAGAGTGATATGCTTGGCAGGACTTCAAGCATCAAGCTTTGAGCTGTATGTAGAAGGTCTGGTCCTGAGAGACAATGTATACTTTTATCTTGCTAGCAACTTAATGGTAGCTGTGGGTGCTTGACTTCTTATCTGACCTCTTTTTGGAGCTGTGCTCTGGAAAGATCCAGCTTGCCAGGGTGGAGAGGGTAAGTAGTTTGTATAGACCATTACATACGCAAACTTGCTATTTTGGCTGGCAATAGAGACAGTGGGAAGAAAATAATTAGAGGACACTCAGCATGGCTAGTCATCGAAGTGAAACAAACAAACAAAAAAAACACACACACACATATAAAAAACAAAAATCAAGCCCAGAAATACAATTTTTTATTTTTATTTATTTATTTTTTAAGTTGTAACCTTCAGACTAACAGAAAGAGAAGCCATAGGAAAACAGATTTGTGACTTTTACGACAGACTGACAGACTGGAAGTCCTCATTATCAAGCCTCTACCTTAAGACAGAAAATATATCCCTGCAACTTGATTCTTCACAATAGACTCTGACTGCTAATTATTTGCTAAATTTCCTGCTGATGTTCCCTGAATGAAGTCAGACTTGATGAAAGTTTCTGACATTTCTCTTGTCAGCAGGAGAATAGAAAAAGTGGGCCAGCTTAGTTCAGAAAGGACCCTCACTGCTTATCATTTATGTTTCTACTGAACATGCATTGATGCTTGTCTGTCACCACCTCACAGCTTCCCATCCACCTTCCGTTTTCATGGTCATTTGAAGTACAGATGCTCAGCTTCTTCCAAACTATATAATGACAAAAAACTACAAAGAAACAAAAAATAATATGTCACTCATCTTTTACAGTCTCCAGAAGAGAAGAAAACTTGCATGCAAGAA